CTGTGACCTTCCCCACACACGGTCAAAATACCCTTGACCTTATCTTAACTGACTTACCGGACCAGTACCAACCACCTCAACCACTGCCTCCTATCGGGTGTAGCAAACACCTATCAGTGCTCTGGTCTCCAGCTACCACTACCAGCCAACTACAGAGACCCTACATCAAGACCTACAGGCCGATTACTGACTCTGCAGTGCGTCTCTTCGGGCAGTGGATAGTTCACCATCCCTGGACTGAAGTACTTAGCGTGGATGACGTGGACACCAAATGGATAAATTATACCAACACCACCACGGAAGCTCACCACCACTTCTTCCCCGAGAAGTCCGTCAGATCTCACCCAGCTGACTTGCCCTGGATCACACCTCGGATCAAAAGACTTATGCAACAGAGAGACAGAGCCTTTCATCTCAATGACCACATCCGCTACAGGTCCCTTCGCAACCGAGTCATCCGCGAAATACGCACTGCAAAGAAGTCTCACTACCCAACCAAGTTGCAACACCTAAAGCAGACCAACGAAGTAAGTGGTATGGTAAGTTTAAAAAACTCTGTGGACTAAACAATAAGACACACCCCCTCCCCTTCCTTAGCCATCTCACTAATGTTGACGCAGCTGAGCAATCAAATAATCATTTCGCTACAATATGCCAGACGCTCCCCCGGCTTGACACAACCACTCTCCCTGCTTACCTACCAGCCCCCTTTCCGACTGACTTGGTAGATGAATTTGAAGTAGCAAAACGTCTGGACAAACTGAAGTTAAAACGCTCCACCACCCCCATTGACTTACCAATGAAACTCTACAAGGAGTTCTCCCCGGAACTTGCTACACCCCTCTGCTCCATCATCCATGCTTCCCTCAGTCAAGCCAGATGCCCAGCTGACTGGAAGACCTCATATGTGTCACCAGTGCCCAAGTCAACCAGTCCACAATCCTTAAATGAGCTACGACCCATTGCAATCACCCCAATACCCAGCTTAATCTGTGAAAGTTTCGTGTTTGACTGGGCTTATGCTGATATTGCAGGCGCCATAGATCCTCAGCAATTCGACTACATATACCGCCATCTGGAGAAACGAAAAACGTCTGTGGTTGTCGCCTTCATTGACTTTACCAAGGCATTTACCTAGTCAACCACAATCTAATCATCAACAAAACTTTCGACCTCGGGTTTCGAAGAAGTCTTATACCATGGCTTACAGACTTCCTTAGTGACCGACGCCAAGACGCACTCTTCCGAGGGGCTGTCTCCACCTTTCAGTCACTCACCTCCGACGTCCCTCATGGCAACAAGATGGGACCGCTCTGCTTCCTTATGCTTATCAATGATGCCCTATGAGAAACCTCTACTCGCTGGAAATACATCGATGACTCCAACATTGGGATCAGTGTCAACAACTTGGCTCCCGACTATACCGCCCTCCAGGATTTATTGAACAGTCTCCAAAACTGGGCCACCAACAACCACGTCACCATCAACCATACCAAGACCATGGTTATGCACATTAACCTCTCCTCCGACGTTGTCCCACCCACTTCCATTACTTTAGGCCCCAACACACTCCAGGTTGTGGACTCCACTAAGCTCTTCGGCGTCATCATAGACAACAAACTAAATTTGAAAACACACGTCAGTACAGTAGTCAAATCCTCCAGTTTCCGTCTCCACCTCCTCTGCCGACTCAAGTCCCTCGGAGTTCCTGCGCCCGAGCTCCTCAGTGTTTACTCAACATTCATACTTCCCAAGCTCACCTATGCCTCTCCTGCCTGGTCTTCCTCCCTAAATGCCACAAAACGTAAACACCTAAAAAGTGCAAAAGAGGACATGCAAGATTATTCTCTCCCCTTCCTACTCCACATATCAAGAAGCACTCAACATACTGACCTTCTCAGCTCTTTCTGACCATCACCATGACCTCATCTGCAAATTAGGTGAGAAGCTTCTCACCATCCTCGACACCGGCTCCTACTACCACCCGAGATCCCTCGTCCGAGAATTGCTGTTCGACACCACAACCGAATCCAGCCCATACGAGCACGAACTGATCGCTACAAGAACAGCCCAGTCCCAACCATTGTAAAAATTACCAATAACTTGTAATCAACCAGTGTATTCACTCCCAGTCAATCTTACCTTTTTGCACTGTCACTATGTTGAAATGCCCTGTAGTATGACCTTCTCCCTACCTAGTTATTATATATCATATTTGTATCACTTATGTTACTTGTATATTACTTGTAAATCAAGAGACCCATTCCCCAATTATGTAACTGTATATTTTCAGCCTTCCGGCTGCCATGCTCATACATACATCACAGGAGCATCTGGTGTCAGCATCTCCAATACTTCACATTAGCTTCCTCACTAACTTAGTAAACGAAAAACACTTAACCTACGTATAATACATACACAAAAGCTACACACACACGTACATCAATACAGAAGTATACACACGCACCTTGTTGTATGTTTAATCAGGATATTTCCACCGGTAAACGCAAAAAATAGTCCCTGTGCTTGTACCTTTAGTTGTGCTTGTACCTTTAGCTGTGCTTGTACCTTTAGCTGTGCTTGTACCTTTAGCTGTGCTTGTTATTGTATTTGTATCTGTATTTGTACTTGTGTCTGTACCTGTACCTGTATCTGACCTACAGTACCAGGTAACAACCCGCAGTACAGTACAAGATGGTGGGCAGAACTTATAGACTATACTGTACTGTTATTACTGCCAGGTAGTAACACCATTAATTACAGTGTTTCTAAGTACTGTACGTGTCCTGTTATGGTCAGCACTATACGTACACCTGTCATTGGTAAAAATACTGTGTGTGTGTGTGTGTGTGTGTGTGTGTGTGTGTGTGTGTGTGGTGTGTGTGTGTGTGTGTGTGATGCTCCACCACCCCGGACTACAGTAGTTTTACCTCAGGGGTAATGTGTTAGTGTTGATCCTAACAGTGTGGGGAATAAATTACAACATGGACCCCTTACTGCTGCCATATTTTACCTCCGCCAATATATATATATATATATATATATATATATATATATATATATATATATATATATATATATATATATATATATATATATATATTCGTTTTGCAAGTAATAAAAATAATCAGTTTAAAGAAGAAACAGCTAAAGGACCTCTCTCCTCATCTCCTTCCAGAGAATCTCAATTCTTTGTGTGGGGCCAAGTGTCTCCCAGGACACCAACAACAACTCCATTTGGTATAAAAACAAAAACAAATGAGTCTCAACACGCGCTCCCCACTTTAGTTTTTTCTTGTTGTTGTTGCTGCATTTGATGTTGTTGTTGTTGTTGTCGTGTTCTGCCGCACTGTATTACCATTATCATTAGGGTTGAGGCAGCATCTAAGTCAGTCACAACGTTGAGGCAGCAGGGGCGGATCCCGGAATAGCATAAGGGGGGGCAAAGGTTTGGGTAGGGGAACATGGCGAGCACAGGGAGCCCACCCAGCTGGGGGGTTATGCAATCTGACCAATATCATGGGCATTTTGAGGCCATATTGAAGTCATGTGCACTTGATATTAGGATATATTCTGAGGTCAATAGTAATTACTTTTTACTCTACAAAAGCGCCTGAGTACAATACTGTATTAAAGAAAACTTATTGGAATTTTCTGATGAAAGAGGGGGGGCATGGGGCCTTGGACAGACATGAACCTGTAACGAGACGCCCCACTCGAGTATTGTCCACTTCACCACCACCAGGTCAGTCCCCCCCTCTAACACCCAACTCATCCCTCACGCAAAGAAAACATATTTTAAACAAACCAATAAATAAGGACAAGTTCCCCGTACAACACAAGGGGGCCATCCCGGTCCTACCTCCCATCCCAGCAACGTCCCTTAAAGCACCCCCCTTCCCCCACTTTCCCCTAACTGATCAAAATATAATCCGGGGAGTTTCAGGCGGTTTTATCAGGGGTTTTCAGGGTATTAATATCCCATCATATCCATTACACCCCTGAAATTTCATACCTTGTCCACCCCCCCCCCCTCCCCAAAGTGAGAGAGGGTGTTTTTTATGCCATTTTTCACACGACTCATCACATTACTCACCAGTTAACGACCACACACCAATACGATACATTACACGATGACGGCAGCCCTAAACACGAGTACTTTGACCTTTGAACCCTTTCTCTCCTTCCCTCACCTCCCTCACATTCTCATCAACCCCCCCCTCCTCATTTTCTCACTCTCTATTAGACCCCATTACTCATATTCCCTTCACCCTCACACTATCCTCATCCCTTATCCCCATCCCCTCACATCACCCTCACCCCCTTGTAACTCGTATATGCAAATTAACTTTCCTTCGTCCAATTCAAAGTGAAAATTCGTGTTTTATAGCCACTGGGAGAACTACTGTCAGAGGGTAGCACTTTTACGTCTTAATTTCTATCTCTTGGTTGAGAAATTAATCTTGGGAAATAAGAGAGATAATTCTGCCGCTTTCCATCTTAAGAGACATTGAACCTTTGAACCCTCTGACACGAACCCTTATGTATAGTGAACCTTGAACCCTCCTGAAACGAATATTTTATGTATGGTGATCCTTGAATCCTCCTGAAACGAATCTGTTATGTATAGTGAACCTTGAACCCTCCTGAAACGGAGCCCTTAAGTATAGTGAACCTTGAACCCTGTGAAACGAATCCATTAAGTATGGTGAACCTTGAACCCTGTGAAACGAATCCTTTCAGAACATTAGTGACGCCTTATTCTATGTTAGTGATGCCGTTGTGTACTAAACATGGCCATAAACAGAAAGGCTTAGACATGGCCCTGAACAGAGACATGGCCTTAAGAGAAATGGCCCTTAACCGACAAGACCCTTTAAGAGAAATGGCCCTTAACAGACGATACACGATCCTTACCAAACATGGCCCTCAACAGACATGGCCTCCAACAGAAGAGTACACACCTGGCCCCACCAACAGAGACAGGTAACGGGTCTTACCTTTGGTGTAGGTGGCACCGTTGGACTGGTGGGAGAACGGGTACTGCATCCGATCCCTGGGTAGCAGCGCCTCACTTTCCGGGTAGCGGTAGTTCTCGTAGCCCCTGACGCTCCCTTCCCGGTAGCCCGAGCCACTACCGTCCGTCGTGTAGCCGTCGCGGGGGTCAGAGTCAACGGAGGGCCGGTAGCCTCCCCGGTAGTCGTAGTGGTAGTCGTCGGCGTTGCGGTATCGGTGTCGGGGGCTGGTGCCGTACCTCTGTTGCCCCGAGTACTCCCTCTCCCCCCGCCGATAGTCCCGCGGCCCCGTCGAGTAGTCCCTAGCACCGTCCTGGTAATCCCTAGCACAATCAGGATAGTCCCTAGCACCACTTTGATAGTCCCTGCGGCCCGTATTCAGTCCCCTGGGGCTGTTCTCATTGTCCCTCGGCCCACTGTGGTAGGGCGGCGGGTCTGGCTGGTACTCCTTCACCAGGCTCGGGTAGTCCCTCGGTCCGTTCTGGTAACCAAGTGGCTCGCTCGGGTAGTCCACGGGTCCGTTTAAGTACTCCCTCGGCCCGTTCTGATAGTCCCTCGGCCCGTTCTGATAGTCCCTCGGCCCGTTCTGAAAGTCCCTCGGCCCGTTCTGAAAGTCCCTCGGCCCGTTCTGAAAGTCCCTCGGCTCATTTTGAAAGTCCCTCGGGTCGTTCTGGAAGTCCCTCGTACTCTGATAGTCCCTGTTAGCCCCTCGCATCGGGTAGTCCCTGGTGGCGGTGGGGTAGTTGTGGTAGTCTGGAGGGTAGTTGTAGCGGGGAGGGTACTGGTGCAGGTAAGGAGTGTCATCCTCCGGGTAGCGGCTGCCGGCGTCGCTGTAATAACTCATGGTGGAACTTATCCCCTTAGACTTCTTCATATATGTCTTTGTTCGTTGTGGGGATGAGGGAGGCTCCGTCCTCCTTCGGTAGGTGCTCACGTCGCCATCATCTGGGGAGGAGGGAGAGAAGAACTTGTTATTACTAGCGTTTAATTCATAGTTCTCATAACAATAAATGGATCACCTGAAGATACCTTGAAGACGTGAGGTTAGGTTAGGTTAGGTTAGGTTAGTTAATCATCAGGTGAAATAAGCTGGGAGGGGCGATTCTCCAGGTGATCATGATAAACAAACACGCATTTAAATTAATTGCTCTAACATAATAATAATAACAGCAGCAAAAATACAACAGAAAAAAAGAGAAAAAACATTAATAATAATAATAATAATAATAATAATAATAACATTAATAATAATACAGCTCATTACCACGTCAATAAATCAACAATTGGCATCAGGATATTACTCTATTTATAACTTTTGTCCAACACTGATAAAACAAAAACACCCCCCGCAACTATGAGTTTTAATTACCCTATGCTGAGAGAGAGGGAGAGAGAGAGAAATACAAAATAAACAGTAAATGAGAAAGAAAAGAGAAAGAAGGAGACAGGGAGAGAAAGAAAAAATAAATAGAGAAAGAGAATGGGAGAGAAATAAGAAAAAGTGACAAACTCTATCTCTATTTCACCTCTCCATTACTTCTACTATAGTTACCCTTCTCCTCCATTCTCCTTGACTCATACCGTTCCGTTTTCTATGACGGGGTAAAAGGCCCCACTCGCCTCTCACCAGAATATTGGAAAACGATTATTGAGCAACTCTTTACACGGCAGAGGCGCTTAATATACAGTTAATATTTAGCTAATATAACAACAATATCTGACCTTACCAGTGATTATATTTTGGTAATAATTTATAAACTCCTGACTTATAATATTTAGTTAATAATTTATAAACACCTGACTTATGTGATAATATTTAGATAATTTTTAAACACCTGACTTACCAGTGATAATATTAAGGTAATAATTTATAAACACCTGACTTACGAGTGATAATATTTTGGTAATAATTTATAAACATCTGACTTATGTAATAATATTTAGTTAATAATTTATAAACATCTGACTTATGTGTAATTATATTTTGGTAACTCTATAAAAACTTGTCAATACGAATATACTGAAGTGCTAAAGAGTGTGGTGTCAGTACCTTTAATTGACCTTGACCTCTGACCTTTAATTGACCTTGACCTCTGACCTTTAGCTGTGACCTTGACCTCTGACCTTTAGCTGTGACCTTGACCTCTGACCTTTAACTGTGACCTTTAACTGTGACCTTAACCTCTGACCTTTAACTGTGACTCTGACCCCTGACTTTTAGCTGTGACCTTGTGACCTAAGGAGTTCTCATCGTACTCAGGGGGTTATCGGAGTCAAGGAGGTTATTATCGTACTCAAGGTGTTATACGCAATGGGTTATCGTACTCAAAAAGTTATCATCGTACTCAAGATTAATGTAATCAAGAAGTCATCATCCTACAAAAGAAATTATCGTACTCTAGGTTATGGTACTCAAGAAGTCATCATCGTACTGAAGGTGTTATCGTACTCAAAGGGTTATCATCGCATCCAATATGTTATCATCGTACTCAAAACGTTATCATCGTACTCTAGGGGTTATCGTACTCAAGAAATCATCATCCTACTAAAGAAATCATTGTACTCAGGGTTATGGTACTCAAGAAGTCATCATAGTACTCAAGAAGTCATCAGAGTACTCAAGAAGTCATCAGAGTACTCAAGAAGTCATCAGAGTACTCAAGAAGTCATTATAGTACTAAAGTCACCATAGTACCAAAGTCATCATAGTACCTCAAGAAGTCATCATAGTACTCAAGAAGTCATTATAGTACCATAACCTCAATAACCCGACGGAAACTTGGAGCTGTGAAGAGATTTAATCCACACTGTTGGTAATCGCGGTCGGATTACCTCAGGTGGAAAATCCTCAGAGATTTTTCCCCTTTTTCCTTTGTCCAGTGGAGGGATTTGTATTTTCCCAACGATGCATCAGTGAACGGGTGATGGAACCTTACTATGATGAGGAGGGAGGAAGGAAGGAGGAGGGGAGGGGGAGGAAGGAGGAAGGAGGGAAGGAGGAAGAGGGAGGAAGGAGGAGGGGAGATGGGAAGGAGGAGGGGAGAGAAGGAGGAAGGAGAGAGGGAGATGGAGAGAGGAGGAGGAGGGAAGGGGAGGGGGGAGATGGAAGGAGAGGGGGAGATGGGAAGGAGGGGAGGAGGGAAGGAGAAGGGGAGAGGGAAGAAGAAGAAGAAGAGGAAAGATAGATAAGGATGATAAAGATATAAGAGAGACGGAAATAACAAGAGGAAGCACAGGACCCCGACAATCCTAAGATTAATTGGACACAGACAGACGTGACCTATTGTCTTCTTTTCACACACTTTATTTTTTCTAACTCTCTCTCTCTCTAACACTAATTATTTTTATTAACCTACTGTTAACAGATCCTCCTTACTGTTAACAGATCCTTCCTTTACTGTTAACAGATCCTTCATAAGCCGATCCCTTACCCTTAACTCCGCAATCACTGATAAACAAAAAATAAACAAAAAATAATAATAATGAGGTCAATTAACGTATAAAGATGAACGGCGAGTAATTAGCTAAGGGTTAGGAAGGCTAATTAATCTGCTGTGTTGGTTCATTAGGGGTTATTAAGGTCATGTCAGGTCAGGTTCATACAAAAGAGTGTTACTAGAGAGGTCACCCTAAAACTATATCTTGCTCTTGTAGACCTCACTTGGATTAAGCAGTTCAGTTCTGGTCACCATATCACAGAATGGATATAGAATTCTTGGGAAGAATTCAGAGGAGAATGACAAGACTAATCCCGGCATTAGGAACCTTGAGTACAGAGACAGGTTAAAGCATCGTAATTTGCACTCCCTCGAGAGACGTGGAGTGAGGGGCGACCTGATAGAGGTGTATAAGTGGAAGTCAGGGCTAAACAAAGGTGATATAACAAAGGTACTCAAACTATCCAACCAGGAGCGAACTCGTAACAATGGTTTTAAATTAGACAAATGTAGATTTAGGGCAAGAAATAAGTAAACATTGATTTGGAAATAGAGTAGTGGATGAATGGAAAGAGTTACCAAACATCATCATTAACTCGAATACGCTGAATAGCTTCAAACATACACTAGGTTGGATGGATAAATGAGCAATAGGGTTGGGTGTAATCGGAACTGCCCAGTATGGGCCAATAGACCCGCTGCAGTTTCCTCCATTTCTAGTTACTAGTATGTGGCCTGACGAGCTGAAGTTGTAATCTACCGATATTTACACTGCAGCATCTATTAACCTTAGCTAAGTGTTATAGGCTAATGGCTGCAAATATCCCGGTAGACACAACTTCAGCTCGTAACCATACTATAGTAGCACCTTATGTTCTTATGTTAGGTCAAGCTCAGGTCAGCTCAGGTCAGGTTTAGCCATAAAGCGGTGGTTGAAAATTTGAAACCGGAACATCCCGGAATTGATCACTGAAAATGACCTGAATAACAGATGTACCGGACCTGCCCTGACCTGTGTCTGAGAGGGGGTGAGGGGGTGAGGGGGGGCCAGAATAGAACACTAAACCTTTCTCTCTACTTGTTTAGTAATGTTCTAATTGTTCCCCCATCATCTTGTCTGTCTCTCTCTCCTCCTTCTTCTTCCCTACTACCCTCTCTCTCCTGTCCTCCTACACTCTCCCTGTCTCCCTGTCCTCCTACCCTCCTCCTAACCTCTCTCCCTGTCCTCCATGGAGTGATGGAGAAGATCAACATAAATTTCAAGTTAGTAAAGTTAGTTTGTGTTTTATAAATAACACACACACACACACACACACACACACACACACACACACACACACACACACTATACACACACACACACACACACACCACACACCACACATACACACACACCACACACACACACACCACACAATGCACAACCACACACACACACACACACACACACACACACACACACGCAATACAAGGCCACACACGTACACACACACACACACACCACACACACACACACACACACACACACACACACACACACACACACACACGCACACACACACACACACGCACACACACACACACACAAATACACACACACACACACACACACGCACACACACACACACACACACACACACACACACACCACGCACACACACACACACACACACACACGCACACACACACACACACACACACACACACACACACACACACACACACACACACAACCACACACACACACACACACACACACACACCACACCACACGCACACACACACACACACACACACACACACACACACACACACACACACACACACACACACACACACACACACACACACACACACACACACACACACACACACACACACACACACACACACACACACACACACACACACACCACTAGTACACCACCACACGGAGAGTAAATCTTCCCACTGGAGGCCTTTGGGAGAAACACTGAAAATATTACCCAGCCGGAGATTGCGTCCCTGCCTGACTCAGTGTAAGTCAGGGTCAACAGGGGAGACCTGACCTGACTTAATGAACTTAAACCCGGAACTAAATATGGCTCACTTGACAACCTGACCTGACCTGACTTAATGTGTCCTGATCTATCTTAATCTGCATCACCTGACTTAAACTGCCCTGACCTGAGTTTACTTGACTTAAAGTGATTTAAACTAACCTGACCTGACTTAAAATAATCTAACCTAACCTAGAAATTTAAATAAATTGACCTAACCTAATACACTGCAGAGAGAGTGTGTGTGTGTGTGTGTGTGTGGTGAGTGTGTGTGTAATAATAAAAAATAATAATAATAATAATAATAATAATAATAATAATAATTAACGGTTTATTGAAGAGCATGGCAGCCGGAAGGCTGAAAATATACAGTTATAAAATTGGAATGGTTCTCTGATTTACAAATGATGTACAAGTAACATAAAGTAATACAAATATGATATATAATAATTAGGTGTTGATAATTTTACAA